TGTTGACGAGCGCGTCCTGGATTTTGGGCGGTGCCGTTTGCGCGGGACGTCCTGGCCATCCCGGTGCGCTCCGATGCCAGGGAAACGTAGGACTCGAGTGAGCCGGAGCTCGGTTCTGCCGACCTTTTTTTGTTGACGAGCGCGTCCTGGATTTTGGCGGTCCTGTTTGCGTGGGACGTTTGCAGCGGGAGCCTGGGCTTTCGCCCATCCCGGTCAGAGTCCTCAGGGATTCTTCTTCGGGTCTCTTCCGAGTGCTCTCAGGACCCTCTGAAGGCAATTTTGAGGGATCTTGAGAGCCTCCTGAGACTTCTTGGGTGCCTCTTCGAAGCCTCTTGGCGCTTCCTGGGGCCACCGGCTCCAGCAGAAGAGGAGGCGCCGGACCCACCAGACTCGCCGGACCCACCGGACTCACCGGACCCACCGGACCCACTGGACCCACCGGACTCACCGGACCCACCGGACCCACCGGACCCACCGGACCCGCCAGCAGCGCCGGATCCGGCCGGACCCACCGGACTGGAGCAGCAGGGTGTACCATCCTCACTCGAACCCAAAACCTGGACCAAGGATCAGCCGCAATCGCAGGTTGCGTCGAAAAAATGCAGGCCATCATACATTTCGGCGGGCCCCTCGCTCGTCAAAACCCACCCGAGGCCGAAACCGCACTACCAGGGGTCGCCCGAGCTAGTCAGCCGCTCTCACATGCATGCCGCCAGACTGCTCGATGTTGCGTCGCTATATTGTTTGACTACTTCAGCTGATCCTGGAATCACCGGAATCCGGAGCGCTGAACGTCATGGTTCAGCCGAAAAAAAAAACGATAATCGGTGGAGCAGGCGCCAGGCCCAAGAAGCGCTGGAAACCATGGGCCCGCCGAACAGCGGGGACGTCGGCCGATTCAGCCGAGCAGAGGCCATTGAAGGTCTTCAAGCCTTGGTGTCAGCTGGATCATGGAAAACAAGGGCGCGGCACACTGAATTGCGCATGGAACAGAAGAAACGCAGCATTGTGGAAAATATCATACAGCTTCTGCGCGGGAGGCCCCGCAGCACCGCGCCGCGCCGCGGGGCCGCGAAACTGCGCGCGGACAGACTGTTGTTTTTGCGCGAAGACGAAGCAAGGCATGACACGCACACGTTTCACACCCAACAGTTGTTGCACTGCGTTGCCGGCAGCTTCACTCGTTAACAACCGTACAACCTGGGCGCGAACGCTGCTCGTCCCCCACGAACCCGCAGAAGAGGCGTGTGAAGAAAAAAACGTCTTACGAATCCATTTGTTCGTTTACTCTGCAATGAAACAGTGACTCATTGCAGAGTAAACGAACAAAACGGCGCGGCGATTTCCCGTCGGCTTTGCTCCGGGCGCCAGCGCGCCACGCACAGCGCCTCCCTAGTTTGGCGGCGCGGTCGGAGAGAGCGGCGCCCGTGCAGTCTCGGCATGACGCGCAGCTGCACTGCGCGAGCGTTCGTTTTCACCTGGCGTGCGCGACAAGCGGGCGCGGCGAATTGATGCGCGTAGCTCGCGCCATGCACCTCGGTCCTCGAAGTTTGGCACGCAGGCGGAATCGAGAGGTCAAGCCGATAATTTAGCGACAACTTATTGTTGCCTTTTCCGGCATCGCCGTTATAGTAACGCCATGCGTCATCCTACCACCCTGTTTATTTTTCCTCATTCTCGTCATGCCCCGCGCATTCCCCCCATCCTTCTCAGCTCTCTTTGCGGGGCCCTCCATGGAGAGAGCCTCTGCTTGAATCGCCGCGGCGGTTGTGATCTGGTTCCGTAGGTTATAAAGGTTTAGAAACAGGTTTACCTGTTTCTGGAACCTGGTTTTAACCAGGTTCTAACTTGGTTCCAAGAGCCTCGGAATGCTGATTCAAAGGCCAGAAGTTGGAGGAGGAGGAAGGGGAAAAGAAGGAGGAGGGGGACGAGGGAAAGGAGGAGGAGGAAGCACGAAAGGGAGGAGGAGGATGAACAAACAAAGGAGGAGGGAGGAAAACGAGAGGCGGTGGAAGAGCACGATGAGGTCGGAGGAGGAGTAAAAGGGGGAGGAGGAGCAGGGGGAGGAGGTGGTTGCGGGAGGAGGAGGAGAAGGAGGAGGTTGTTCGCAGAGCTCCCAAATCACGAAACCGAAGATGCAAGGCCTCAAAAACCTATATCATGAGGTCAGACTGGCCATGTTGAGAGCCTCATCGTCCTTTTCCTTCCTCTCCTTCTCCTTCTCCTTCTCCTCCTCCTTTCCCTTCTCCCTCCTCACCCCCTCACCCTCCTCCTCCTCCTCCCATGCGGAATGTGCGTAAGCACCATCTCGAATGTGTTTCACCAGAACACGGCATTGGCCGCAAGCTCTCGCGACCACTGTATCTCAGCTTCAACCTCGGCGGAAAGATGCAAGTTGCAATCTTGCCCGCAGACGCGGGCCAAAAAATGCAAGGTTCTAAGAGGCGCGCGGTGCAGACAAGAATCGTAGACTCAGACACCCTGACTTTTGCACAGGCCTTTTGAAAATCTAACACTTGCCAATCAGACACTGCAGCGACGAGTTCGCTGCCAACCCGAAGGAAGATGCGCACCACCCCAAATGTCACATCTCCATTGCTACGCAAATAAGCTACACAATCACCTATGTGGACTGCTCGAAACTTAACGTAGCACACCCTAGAGCTAGAGATATCCCGATCACACGTGAGAGGCACAGCTTCCTGAAGACACCTGCACAAGTCTTTGCTGGCAGGCTTCTCACCCACAAGATCAACTTTGGCGAGACTTTGGCAATCCAGGTTCATTAGGTGGTGGGCTGTCAAATCGAGCATGGTGCCCTTTTCAAACCCAGCTAGGTTGCGCCTGTCCTGCACATACCGCTTCACGAGCCGACGCTTACGCTCCTGCAAGAAGCACGAGAGGAGCAGACCTTGCTTTCGCATCGTATCGCCGAGGTGCAGCGCACAGTGGTCCTTAGGCTTGTAGAAACCAACTCCCCACACCCGTCTCTGCAAGCAAGCATGTTTGAGTATAGCGTCGTGAATCTCATCGGGGGTCACGACGCCGCTGTTTGCGATTTGCAGAAGGCCGACGGCCTCACAACCAGCTAGAAGAGATTCACACTGCTCTGCAAATACCATTGTCTTCTCCAGCACCACGGACCTGACGTAATGGCCAAGCACTGGTGCGAACGATAACAAATCAGATGCGTTGCCAGTCAACTTGCCTTGGGAACAAACTTCATCTGCTTTAGCATAACCCTGAGGCCACTTCCAGTGCGAGAGATACTCAGCAAGACAACTCCATCCCAAGCCGCGCGTATCAAGCAGATCTATCAATGCTTCTGCCTCGCGCGAGAACATGCCAGTGATGAGCAGGCAGTGCATCCAATCCCATGACATCACCTGTGGCAGATCGAGGTCAAGATCCTTGTCTTGAAGGATGCCGCCTGGGACGTAGGCGAAGCCCCACAGCTTCTCCTTCTTCCTGAGCTCTGTCACACCTTCATCCTCCAAGGTTTTTTTCAGCTTTTTCTGCAAGCCCTGAATTGATGCTTTGGTGTGCAGATCAAACCTGTCCACTTCAACCGAATGCGCTGGTAGCAAATGCCCTGTCGTGTCTCTCTGCACCAGGGTGGATCTTGGGAGGCATCTGTTCTTGCAAAGGCAGCAGGGCTTGATGCCCCCGCTGCCCTTGCAGTGCACCACAAACTTGTGTGCTCGTTCATCTTGAAACATGCTGGCAACAGTTCCATGGATGAAAGTGGGCACGCCGTCTATCAGAACAGATACGCCATCTCGCATATCATGGTTCGAAGGCCTACCATAGAACAGTTTCATGCAAGCCAACATGACAGCGGATATCCCACCTTCTATTTGTTCGCACACTTCGGTTCGCAAGACGCAGAGAGTTTGCCAGCACAGTTCACTTGAGAGCATTGGGTACGACAACTCTTTCCACGCATAATATATCGCCCAGCTCTTTCTGTGATTAACCTCTAGCAGCACGTTGCCAGGAACCACTTCGTCAGTGTAAATGAGCAGGGACAAGGTCCCTCCAGATCGAGCCAGCACATCGAAAATCATGGCCTTGAAGCTCTTCGAATACCTGCTTGCAGCCTCTATCCAACCAAGCGGGTGCTGAACGTAAACCTCGCAGTCAGAACCAGGGATGGGCAACCGCTGCACGAGTGGTCCGAACTTAGTGCTGGGACACGCCAGCCTGAGACGCTCCCTTGCTTGGGTGGAAGGGCTGTAGTGGTCGGGCAAGCCCTCCCTCTCGATCTGCCTCATCAAGTCAGCAATGCCAGATTGTGAAACGTATGAGTGTTTCCCAAAGCTGCTGACCTTTGGTCTCTTAGGAGAGGACATTGCATGTGCACCACCTCCTGCAGGCGGGCACAGCGAAAAAGCTTGAGTCAAAATGACTACGGAACACGCGGTGCGAGAGACCGTGGGAACATGCTGACAGGATGCGCGGTTTCAGACTCATGCGCTGGACGCCGCCTTTCACTGTCCTCGGGGCCATTTCACTGACCTCGAAGGGACCTCCAAATCAACCCACAGGCTTGGCAAACATCACAATTTCCCAATGGAAGAAGTGTTCGAGACCATCATCGCGCGAAAGCGCCACGAGGTGGAGGGGGGATCGCAAGGGGGAGTATCTATAGGGGGAAGATGATGGAGGGCGAGAGGGAGGATTAGGAGTGGGAAGGGGATGGGGAGGGGGAGAAGGAGGGGGAGGAGGGCGGGTTATAAGGGGAAGGGAAGATGACGAGGGATGAGTGCCATTGTTCCGCTAGCTATAGCAGGCGAGCGCTCTTAGTGACCCCACGGCGTATATCTATAGAAAGGACCTTCTGCGCACACTGACCCACGCGTGTGGCCGAAGCTCGCTATGCGCGCCCATTCGCATTTCACTCGAGACACTCGTGCTAGACTAAATGAGGTGCTGCACGACACGCGCTGCCAAAAACTAAAACAGTTGCCAGGAGACCGCACTGAGAACAAGCAACCCCCTCACAAGGTGTCATAAACACGGGTGGCCAACGTGTACGCCTGGCCACTGAACCACTTGATCTCCTCAGCAGACTTAGTGAATTTCTTGGCCTGCGTCTGAGCCCTGCCGCAGACCTTACTGCCGAAGGCGTTCTTGCTGCAATCAGCGTACTCCTTGGCCAAAAACTCTGAAACGTCGACCGTGCCACTCTTGCCCTTGATGACACCTACGGGCAGGCAGGGGGAGGGAGAGGAGGAGGAGGAGGACGAGGAGGAGGAGGAGGAGGAGGAGTATGAGGGAGGAGGCGGAGGAGGAGGAGGAAGGGGAAGAGGAGGAGGAAGCAGGGGCAGAGGAGGAGGGGGAGGAGAAAGAGGATGAGCAAGGGGAGGCCGATAAGTGTTGTTGTTTTGTGTTGTATTTGTTACTCAGGTCGGGTTGGGAAAGAAAGCCTCGGGCTGACAAGTTGAGCTACCCGAGCGACCCTTGACTCCAGCAACAGGCCCTGCAAGAACGAGCGGAGCACCGCCACCACCAGCTGGTTTAGCAGCTGCTGGTTTTTTCAAGGGTGATGGCGTTGCAGCCGCAGGCTTCTTGCTGACCCCAACCTTGCTCTTGCCGTTCTTCTTCACGAGCCCCTTCTTCGGGGCCAAAGCGCTCTTGCCGCTGATAGCGGCATCGGCCATCTTCCGCTCAAACGCGGCGGCCTCGTCGTCCGAGCCGCCATCGTCGACGGGAGCGGCATCTTCAGGAGCAGCATCTTTCTGCAAAGCAGCGGCGCCAAGTAGGGGGCCGCGAGCACCTGGGGACTCTCCAGATTCAGAACCCAAGCTCTGACTGTCTCCTCCGCCCAGCCTCAGCGTATCGGCCGACAAGGTACCAACGCTCCTCGAGCGAGACCTCGAGGGGCGCCTGGGCTCGCCAAAGATGGTGATGGGAATGCCGTCGTCATCGTCATGGCCGCCTCGCTGGCGAGAGCAGGTACGCTGATGCGCCTCCAGGAGCGCTGCGCCATACGCCGCCAGCTGTGCTGAGAGGCCGCCACCATGAGGAACGACGGCACGATCGCGAGAGCCATGTCCACGGGAGCCCAGGTCATCAAATAGCCCATCACGTTTGGATTGCAAGGTCTTGTGCGTATCCTTGTAGCCAGTTGCGCAGACCATGGTCTCGATGGCGGCCTTGTCCAGCTCAGTCGACGATGGCGTCGTGGGCTCATCGCTTCCATATGCGAAGCTATACACTTCAGCTGGCAACTTTGATGGCATCTCGGGGTAGTTCTTGATGTGAGGGCCCTTGTATACCTTCGACGTGTCGAGGTTCTTGAGCTCGCCCTGCACGTACTTCATCAAGCGCTGCTTCTCCTTGGGGTCGCAGTAGGCAGACGACCCCTTGCCAGCCACGATGACGATGGCCATCAGCCTCTTCAACGTAGATGGGGAAGGGCACGTGAGTCCGACCTTGTAGAGACGACGAGCCATGCACTCGAGCTTCCCCTCATCGGACACCTTCCTGTCGTGTATCACCGCCCACTCGTCGGCCACAAAGTAGTTGTGCGCGCCGACCATGTTCTGCTGCGTCCTGGCCTTTCTGTCTGTGGAGGCATGCTTCATGGTGGCGCGATCGACCGCTTCGGCCAAAGCGATCTTCTGAGCAACGTCCCACGGGCCGCCAGCAAGAGCCTGAAGGACTGGGCCTACGGTGCTTTCGGTGAGCCCCTCCACATCAGCGATCTCGGCCAAGAGGCGAGTGCACTGGCTACGCATCACGAACTCCTTGCTCAAGCCAAGGTTCACCTGCTGGTCGATGAAAGCGTAACGATGCGTGATGCCTGCCACGAGGTCAGCAGCCGCAGAAGATTGCATGGGCCCGCGAGTGGATACCAAGCGCAGAGGAGGAGGCGCAGGTAGCGAGCTAAACAAGACTGATGAGCCAAAAACGGCTACGGGACGAGACGCCATCAGCCGTACCCCAGGGACCCAAGTCACATCGTCTGGTTGGGTGTAGTTGCGACGGGGACCGTTGACACGCCTCTCAGACACACCTCGTATCCCACGTTACACATACACCAGATCACACGTACAGGCCTCAAGGGGCCTCGAAACGACAGTGGCCTTACATCAGAAGCACGCCCGAGCAGCAAACTCTGACGCCTCTGCCCTGTAGGTCGGGAAAACAGGCTGGCGGGGCTCAAATGATCTCGCGTCGACCCTCGACGCGAGATCATCCAATACAGGCACATAGATGATCTCGCGTCGAGGGTCGACGCGAGATCATTTGATCTCGCGTCGAGGGTCGACGCGAGATCATTTGGGGTCTCCAGGGGCCCTGCAAAGCTAACGGTCCTGGATCAATGATCTGTGCTCCGAAATATGCTAGCTGTGGTATCGGCTGTCACATGTTTGCGACTCCCCTGGCATTGCTTGTCTCATGATCTGGTGGGCCTCACTGTTATGTTTTCCCCGTTGCTTGTATCCACTGCACCGCGTGCGCAGCGCCTGCGACGCTCGAAAATCACATGCCTGACGCATGCTATCCCAATCGAGCGCCCACCTCATGCAGCTACGTATGTACGTGTACAGCGGTCGGCCTTGCACTCACTCATCCTCATCGGGCTCGGTGTGGTGCTGGACGTAGTACTCCTGCACCACCTTAGCGAGGCGATTGACGGCGTCCTGAAACGCCTCCTTGTCGTTGAAGTCTGCTTGGACCTTCATCGAGTGCTTGCGCCACTTGCCCTGGTTGGTGTCGTAGAAGCGGCACATTAACCCCATGCGTGCATGCGACCACTGCACATTTGCCTCAAGTACCTCTGGAACCCACGGGACCTGGTCAGCCATCGGCTTCTTCGTGAGAAGGGCCACGTTAGCATCTGTAAGCTCGATCACCAGTGGCGAGCGCTTGTATGGTGCGCTCATGACCCTCACCACATGCTGCTGCCCACTCTCATCACGAACGGTCACCTCGACGACCTTCTCCACCTCGTCGATCATGGAGCGCTTGGCCTTCTTCAGAACAGGCCCCTCATGTTGCTCGTCCTTCTTGTCTGCGCCAGGGTCCACGTCGACATCAGCAGCTGCGGCCATGAGCTGCGTGCACTTGATCATCCGAGCATCCTGGATCGCCTCCATCATCTCGAACTGGTGGTTCACAAGCTTGCCGAACGCCAAGCTCTTGCGCGAGCACTGGAGGAAGTTAAGCCCCGAGTGCTCAATCACCTTAGCGACCCACGAGTTGGCTGGACAAGGTTCTTCATGCAGAGAGATGCAAGCGAAACCAAAGGCCACGCGCGCCATCGCAACCGCACGTGAGACTGGCGACGTGCAAACCCAAGCGAAGCCAATCGAGCCGATATGGCTACGGAAGGACGCTTTAGGGTGATGCATGTGAGACCATTCGTAGTTTCAGAATGTGCCGAGTTATTCTTGGTGGGTCTGTGACTCAGCCCCCTCTGGGCTCGGCCCTCTCGGGGCCCGACACCTCCGGAGAAACGCAGGGAACTGCCAGAGGTCCGATACAGGACCCCCCTTACGTTTATAGGCATTTCGCCAATCCCTTTGCACGTTTTGTTTCGAGAGGTATTGCAGTTGAAGTAGCAATAACATTGGCAGGAGGAGGAGGAGGGGGTGAGGAGGATGAGGATACGGACGAGGAGGAGGAGGCGAAGCCTTGACCGTTAGACCCCTCGTGGCAAGCCCGAGCAACACAATGTTGGAAGATACGGGGGATGAGTATAGGGGGATGTACGGATAGGAGGATGAGGAGGATGTCTCACTGTAGCTTGCGAGCACGGCTTCGACTGGTTCCGAAACGACGCCCGATGGTAGACCGCGTGTTAAATGCGTGGCCGAGCCGCGATGTGCACGTCACCCGCATCGTGCGCAGCACTGGCCGAAACATGCAAACACCTCACTCACTAGTGAACTGCCACTGATCAAAGAACTTTGAACACTTAAAGCCACGCGATGCTGGCTGACCTACTTATCTAATTGCGATGATCTGCGATCGAGCTGCGCTGAACTATCGCTGCTGGCGAGCGCCACGCGCATCAGCCGTGAGTCGAACACGTTGTTTCTGAGAGCCCCCCTCCGCCCCCCGCACTTCATTATCCTGCCTCCCTCTGCTATAACTCATTTCCCCATCGCAGGTCACCCTCAGACTTGGCCCCAAACACACTGACCATCGGATCAAGGCTGCTTCTTGCCCCTGCCCTTGCCTTTGCCCCCCTTGCTGGGGGAAGCCGCGGCAGCAGGGGCAGACGAGGAAGGTGGGCCCACAAACAACTCCGCGCCCTGCAGGATCACTTTGTGATTCCACATGCAAGGCACTGTGATGGAACTGGACGCGGACTTGCCAGCGCCCTTCTCCACGACAGGTGCGGCATTAGTCTGGACCTTGAGGAGCCCGAGGGTCATGTTCGGGCTGTCCCCAACTTGCGCACAAAAAAAAGGTGGGAGGAACGGTGTGGCCTTTGCTTTGCCAGGAGTGGCAACGGACAAGGGAAACTCAAGCTTCGGCACAACATAGGCACACTGGTTGTCAGGAATGCCAGGGATGCTGGGGATCTGCGTGCCACTCGGAGGGACTTTAGCAGCTACACAAATCGTAGAAGACAGCGGCACGAGCAACAGTTGCCCTTTCTCGTGCCTGCGCAGAGCTACAGCACCCTTGACTGCAGGCTTGGGCTGCTCCGCAAAAAGAACCTTAACCTCGACCAGCTTCTCGAAGAACTGGTACGCGTGGAGCAGGCCGAGAAACAACGTAGACTTCGCATTGTTCAGCATGATCTCCTTGTTCTCCTGGGGGCGCTCTCTCCCTCCCTCCCTCTCGTCCCTCCCCCCCCTCCCTCCACCCCCTCCCTCTCTCACTCGCTCTCTCTCTCTCTCTCTCTCTCTCTCTCTCTCTCTCTCTTTCTCTCTTCTCTCTCTCTCTCTCTCTCTCTCTCTCTCTCTTCTCTCCTCTCTCTCTCTCTCTCTCTCCCTCGAGGGTGGGTTGGTGTGGTGGTGGTGGTGGTGGTGGTGGGGTGGGGGGGGGGGGGGGGGGGGGGGGGGGGGCGGGGGGGGGCGCCTCTATCCTCCATCCCTCCATCCCCCCCTCCCTCCTCCTCCCCCCCTCCTCCGCCCCTCCTCCCTCCCTCGTCCCTCCCTCCTTCCTCCCTCCCTCCCTCCCTCGGTGCACCGTCTGCCTCTTCTCCTGTTTCCCTCGCCGAAAACAAAACAGCAAGGGTCCAGGAATGACGCCAGGGCGCCGTCCGCGGCGCCCACGATGGTCTCCATGGTGCGCTGCGGCTCCACGACCTGGGAGGAGGCGGAGGACGAGGGGGACGAGGGGGAGGAGGAGGATGAGGAGGAGGAGGACGACGAGTCACGCAGGCTGGGAGAAACTCAAAGGGAGAAGTGGAGGATGAGGAGGAGGGCGAGGAGGAGGAGGAGGAGGGGGGGGGGGAGGAGGAGGACGACGAGGACGAGGACGAGGACGAGGACGAGGGCGAGGACGAGGAGGGGAGGATGACCATCAGCCACGCGTTAGGCGTTTCCCACCGTTTTTGTCTAAAGTCAGGCGTGAAGCAACACAAACATCGGAGACTGACACGTCTGATAGACAGAGGGTCGGGCGAGGGGAGAAGGACGGACGATGAGGACCAACGTTTGGCTTTTTTTTTTTTTTTTTTTTTTTTTTTTTTTTTTTTTTTTTTTTTTTTTTTTTTTTTTTTTTTTTTCTTTTTTTTTTTTTTTTTAATTTTTTTTTTTTTTTTTTTTTTTTTTTTTTTTTTTTTTTTTTTTTTTTTTTTTTTTTTTTTTTTTTTTTTTTTTTTTTTTTTTTTTTTTTTTTTTTTTTTTTTTTTATTTTTTTTTTTTTTTTTTTTTTTTTTTTTTTTTTTTTTTTTTTTTTTTTTATTTTTTTTTTTTTTTTTTTTTTTTTTTTTTTTTTTTTTTTTTTTTTTTTTTTTTTTTTTTTTTTTTTTTTATACGGTTTGAAACTAAAAAGGGCGCACCGATAAGACTGGAGTAAGATGGGGATGCGGGGGGGCAGGGTTGTTAAGTTGTTATTACATTAGAAGGATGCCCTGACCTTCCACTGATCGACGAGCGTCGCGATGGCCACGGGCGTCGCGTCCACCTCCTCGTCGTCCACCTTGGAGTCCTGGAGCGTCGTGTCCACGACGTGAGCGGTGTCGGCCCCCAATGTCTTGATGATGTACAGGTGGCTCTTGACGAAGTCCTTGGCCTGCGCGAGCGGCTGGACATTCGCTCCCACCACGAAGCCTAATGCCCGCAACGACTCTCCATCGATGGTGCCGTCGGGGTTATACTGGATCATGGTCTTCTGGGCCTTGCAGGCCCGATCGCCCTTGGCCGAGAACTCGGACTTGTACGCCCAGGGAGTCGCGTTGCCCCGTGCCTCAGGGTAGACGTTGAACACTTCATCTAGGAACTCATTGGCGATGTGCTCGAGGCTGTCGTAAGCCTTGCGCTTGCCGCTCTTCTTCTGGAAGAGGTGCATGATGCACTTGACCTCGAAGAAGCCGCGGAGCTTGATCCACGTGGAGATCGGCACGGTGCAGCCCTCCTTCTTGGATAATGTCTCCAGCCACTGCTTGCTGACGCGCCAGTAGGACAGAACCTTGATGAACTCCTCCTTCTTGGCGCCCGTCACGACGGCGAGGTCCGCGCTCGAGACGATCTTGGCGACGTTGTTGGTGCATAAGTTCTCTGGCGCAACCAAAGATGCCTTCAAGATGGCCGTCGGGACTTCTGCCATGGTCTTCGCCTGGAACTGGGCGAGCACCTTGAAGGTGACGGGCGCGATGTCTCGGCGAAACGAAAGCACCTTGCTGAAGTCGTTCAGCTCAAACAACATGTACGGCGTGTTGCCGCCAGACCACCTCTCCACGTAATCGGCGATGTCGGCAATCTGCCCAGCCATCGTCGGATGCTGCCTCTCGATGGCCCTCGCCACCTGCTCCTTGCGGTATTCACCGAGCTTCTTGAAGTTGGACATCATCCTGGAATGCACTTGCAACATGGTCTGGACCTTGGTGACTGTACGGTTGGCTCCGTGGTGCTGGTTGCCAGCCTCCTGCAGAAATGCAGGAAGATTTGGACAGCGCGATTCCACTTCCCATCGGATGCAAAGCCACTTGAGACCATCCTTCATCGGAGCAGCGAACCCTGGGTCCTTCGCGAGAACCTTAAAGAAGAATCCCAAACTACACCCACTTTGAAGCATGAGTTTGGGGAGGGGGTATCTGTGTTATAACACATATACCCCCTCCCCAAATTCATGCTTGTGTGGGTCAAGTTTGGATTTCCAAAACCTGCTCCTTCGAAAGGAAGCCGTTGTGGGACAAGTCCTTGAGGAAGGTCCTGCACCCTGCCTCGACGATCTTCACTGATGCTACCGTGTGCGAAGATGTCACACTCAGGAGCTTGACGAGCTCGGGCGTCATCGACGGCAACATGCCGCCCGATCCCTGGACCAGTGCATGGATGAAGCCCAACTGTTCCTGATGGCCAGGCTTGTCCTGAGGAATGGACTCGAACGCGATGGGCTTGCCTACCTCGGACCACGACCACCCGCAACCAGTGATGAAGTCGAGCAGCTCGTGGACGTCGACTGGGTCGAGCCCCATCTCGAATCTGTTTTTCGGATGGGGCCAAACCTTCTCGTTCTCCGACGTGCTCCAGTATGCCAGCGAGTGCTGCAGCAGCAGTTCGCACAGCTTGTCGGACGTCGATTTCATCTGCGTCATATCTGACTTGACCTCGCCAGTGCTGGTGTCGTAGTGGGGGTCGATCAGCTGGTTGATCTCTCCCTGGATCGACTTCGCACGCTCCATCACAGAAGCCATAACTCTATCACGCAAGAACTGATGACAGCACTCTCAAACACAAAGTGTCTCGATCCGAAAGTGTTACGCATGATGGTGAACATGGTGATGGTGATGTCAACTTTCTGGGCCTAGAATCCTGAAAACAACATGCCCCGAACTCAAAATCTCATGTTCAAACGGCACACTTTCATATCCAGAAGACAGACCTCGTGCAACCTCAAGCGTCGAAGTAACATATCGGCAAAGAAGTTCTGGAGATATTGAAACCTGGTTCGGAAACGCGCTAACCTGAACCCCGAAGATCGTTAAATGCAATAATCGATCAGATCCAGGAAGATGAGTTCACCAAGTATAAGGTGACCTTCCAGAGCTACAGTCCTATGTTCACCCCTAAGATCCAGAACTACTAACCTCCTGAACCGTTTCGGAAACAAGGCGGTGATTCAAGTGGGGGTCGACGTAATGAAAAAATCATTACGTCGGGGGTCTGGGAGGTTGACAGACCTCCTGTTCTCACACGTCGATCAGCGCATTGGCCGTTTTCGGTTCGCGAGAGGGCGTCGCGGCCGTCCCTGTTGCGGGTCCAGGTCCTTCGGTTTCGGTCCCAGGCCGTTTTCACTACAGGGAGGTTTACTCAAGGGAGGTTTGTCCACCGCCGAGGCCCACCCGGAACACCCGGAGCATCTGGAGCATTCGGGACGCTGGAAACACCCAGAACACCAGGGGCACCCAGGACCCCAGAGATCAACGTGTTGAAAAATCAAGACGGAGGTTTTTCGCCAATTTCGGCCCCTATGGGCCCTCGCTGGGCCTCGGGACCGTCAAGAAACGACTCGGGATGAAAAACCGGTCCTGGGGAATGGGTCGAGATTTCCGGAGACCGCGCATTGAACAAATCACGACATCGGATCTCTGTGACACAATGGAGAGCTCCCATAGCCAGAACACCCAGATCAGCCCGGACTTGGAGGAGTGGGTGAAAGAGGAATGGGGGAACCAGCAGCTCGGTTCGGCCGATCCAGGTGATCCGGCTGATCCAGTTGATCCAGCTGATCTGGCTGATCTGGCTGGTTGAGTGTTTCAATGATGGGAAAATCCTGGCTCCGGCCGTGCGGATGGTGCAGGTGAATCGCGCCGGACACCAAACACCGGACACCAGACACCAGTCGCGGATCTGACAGCAGTGTCGTGCAAGACGCATAAGGAGGCGAATCTTTTGACGGCGAGCCGCCGCTGGATTCAACCATGCGGGTGGTTGTGCGCCTGCACTCCAGAAGGGTATTTCCTCCACCTGAAAGAGTATGTGGGATTCGACAGCTTACCGGATCGATGTTTCTTCCTGGCTGCTCTGGTAGAGAAGCCGCCCGCCATCAATCAATGTGGTCAGGCATGATGATCGATGCTTGTGATTTACGGAGGTACACGGCGAAACGCAAGGAGCACGGCCCGTTGGCTGACATGCTGTCCTACCCCAAGGTGCAGTAATTACACCACGGATGGACTACATGACAATCACGTCGACCCGTGGCACTTGGAGAACTGTTCACCCAAGGCAGATTGCAACAACACGTGCATAGAAGGGCACAACCGCCAACTGAGCGAGCAACTGTTTGGACGGGTCGGGAGGCACGGGTTCGCCGTGCGTGCCATGATCCGCTGGACTGGCGCTTCCTTTTTGTGTGAGATGGCATCCGCGGTCAACGCTGGGTGGTTGTCCGAGAAGGAGAGGGAGCGCGCGGCGGCCGCGTTCGCGCTCGCGCCTGCGGGGGCGCCTGTCGCTCCAGATCAAGAGGTAAGCCGACGCAGAGCTGCTCCCGACGCGTGCCCGGGATGCCTGCGCGATTGCTTCTCGCAGCCGCGAGTGGGCGAGGCGTTTCTGTGCCTGGCAGCTGCCCCGACGCATTTGCGCGCTCGGCCGCTTCGGGAATGCGCAGCTTGAGCGTTCACCTCGCGAGCGTCAGGAGGGGAACAACACACGGACACAATTCATCGTCCATTCCCCAGAAAATAGGGAAAATATGGGAAGTGGGGGGGGAAACAACAACCCAGAAAATAGAGAGAGAGAGAGAGAGAGAGAGATATGGGGAGTCCTGTTATTTGTGTCTATTTATTTGTGTGTCCCAGGGCCCCTTCAGAGCAATGGAGTCGCGTCCTCCCTTGGCCTGCGGTGCCTTTGCGTTCGCCCCGTGCGTCGGTCCGCCAGCTCGCCTGGCCCAGCCCGCCGTTTCCTTGGCGCAGCCTGCGTGCTCGCGCAGAGATGCCATTGGCAGCGCGCGAAAACATGATCCCCATGTCCCCCCTCGTTGCCACAGCGGCGAAGTCGTCTAGCTCCTCCTCCTCCTCTTCTCCTCCTCCTCCTCCTCCTCTTCCTCCTCCTCTTCCTCTTCCAGGAACGCCGGGGGCACCGAGTGAACGCGGAGCACACGGAACACCCGGAACAGCCGGAACACCTAGAACACCCGGAACGCCGGGACCTGCAGCGCCTGGAACACCCAGAACACCCAGGCCCGGAACACCCCGAACACCAGGCACACACGCAACGCCCGGAACGCCCGGACCCACAGCGCCCGGGACGCCCGGGAGCGCGCGCGGCCGCAGGGAGGATGGGAGAACTGCATACTGTGAGCTCCAGCGTGGTATTCAAGAACGCCTGATGTTGTGATGGTCAGCGGCCCTGGCGGCACGCTGTCCGCTGAGTCCGTGCAGGCGCGCAGCCAGGGCCGCCCCCCCCCCCCCGGCGCCACCTGGACATATTGGCGCCCTATCTCGCCGCGACCTCTGCCCTTCGCTTGAGGATCGCGGGGGAATTCGATTGGAGGGTTTCCCCGCCGATCTACAACGCCAGCAGGGCCCAGTAGCTACTTTGGTGGAGCAGTGGGCGTGGCGACAGTTGAGCATGCCAGTGGGTGCTGCTCCCATCGACTGTGCTGGTGAAATAGAAGTCCCCGTTGAGGTTTTGCATCTTCGAACCGCATGCTGCCCTGCCTTGCCATTCGGGGGCTGGTCAGTGGATCCCCCTGCTCTGTTTGTGTCTGTGCCAGAACTGTTGAGTGTAGCCAGTCCGTTGTGTTTCGGTGGCGGTCTGGGCGGTTTGCGTCTGGGCTGCCAGCGAGGCACGACGGACCCGTTTGAGCACCAGACTCGAACGGTAGGTTATCAGTGAACGCTGGGTGCGGGAGGGTTTTTTCCTTTGCTCCCGTTTGGCTCAAGGTCGACCTTTCCACGCCCGCCATAATACACACCTTCGGCTTCCAGACGTCGCCCAAATACATCTTGACATGAAAATATTTTTTTCGTCATCCGCTTTAAATTTCTAGTCGGCGGACCGCGGTCCCAGAGCACTAGAAAGAGCGTGCGTGCGCAATCCCCCCGTGCTTAGTGCCCGGCCAGCCCCCCTGGCACCGCTCCCCTGGGAGCACCCGGTGGTTAGTGCCAGGCCAGCGTGCCCGGTCACCTCCTTCTGCCTCTCCATCGCGCTTTATCTGAACGTGTTTCTTCTCCTCCTTCTCCTTCTCCCGTTTTCTTCCGTTCTTCCTCCTCCTCCTCCTCCTCCTCCTCCTCCTCCTCCTCCTCCAACGCGTTGCTCCTCCTCCTCCTCCTCCTCCTCCTCCTCCTCCTCCTCCTCCTCATACCTCTTCCTCCTTTTCCACCTCCTCCTTTCGTTTTTCCTCCTCCTTTGCGGCCGCGAACCGTGCCCGCCCCCGCCGCTGCCGCGGACCCGCAGATTACCACCCCCGTCGTGGTGTCGCCCGGGGAGTGGAAGGGCAGCATCACCGAGGCCAGCGGCTCGCGAGTGGGCGCCAGGGGTGGTGCTGTGCTGCTCTGCTTTTCCCATTCATTGCCCCCCCCCTGCTCCCCACTCGCGCCAGTGGTCACTCACCCACCAACCCACCCCAACCCAACCCGAAGTCCCCGTTTTGCCCTCTATCTCCAGTGTGTGTGTGTGGGGGTCTGGGAACATTTTTTAAACAAAAAACAAAAACAACACAAACAACAAAAAACAAATGGAACCCGTACCCCCCCAACCCGAAATTCGGGTCTTCGGGTTGGTTCGGGGGGGTCTGGTAGGTAGTCAAGTGGGGGTCATGGAGGATGAGCTGGCGGCCTGTCTGGCAAGCCTACGACGACAAGGCCCAACGATTGCGCATCGTTCGGCTGCAGGAAGCGGGCCCGCGGGAGCCGTGCGTCCTGGTGGAGATGCCGCACGATCCGGCGACGGCGAGGGCCCATCCAGATCACTCAAGACTGGCGTCGCCCCAAGAGACTGAGATTATGTTTTCTCTTATTGTTGTGTTTCTTAATCATTGTTATATTTTTATGATTCGTGTTAACATTATTGGCGGTGTATTTCATTACTCGGACCGGATTAATTCATTCAGATTAATTCAGCGTGTTAGCAATAGTTTGTTGTTAGTCGCATTATCATCCACAATCGAATCATCCTCCGCTGTAGCATTTCTTATTCGTAGTCAAGTTATGCTGTGTATTCGTGATGGTGTTCTTATTTGTATTGTTGATAGGATTCGCAGTGTCCGTATTTGTTTTACATCCATTACTCTTCAGTATATCATCTGCTTACGATCATTCTAATCCATGATATTCTCAGTCGTACTATTTCCAATAGTATTATCATGTTCAGTATTTTTTCTTCTACTTCCTGCTCCCCCTCTTCCTCCGTCTCCCCCCTGTTTACCGCTTTGACGTCTCACGGGGAAATGGGGGGGCCAGCCGTCAGCCCAACAGCAGTCAGAAAGTTGAAACCTGCATGCTTGAACAGTCCTCCCCCCACTCCCCTGGCGGTCAGCTTCCAAGTCGACCAAGTGGAATGACTTGGGAGGAGGCTGAAGAGGAGGAGGAGGAGGAGAAAGAGTAGCAGGACGAGGACGTCCGTAGCCATTTTGGCTCAAGGCCAACCGTTGTGAAGGGCTATAGACGCCCGAGAATCAGCGATTAGCTTTGCGGCCTTTCCGTGGGCCTTTCTGGAACCAATTTCGGGCCTCAGGTGGCCCCTGTGTTTGTCCTCCCGCGCT